GAGAGAGAGAGAGAGAGAGAGAGAGAGAGAGGGAAGGAAGGAAAAGGGCGGACAAGAAGAACGGAATGAAAGAGAGTTATGAATAAAGCATTTAATTATATTTTTTTCGAGTATTCTCCTTTGTGCATTCAAGCATAACCCTTTATCCGCAGGATTCGTTAAGTTAAGTGGTTTCAGGGGCTATCCTTTCTTTTTCTCTCTCTCTCTCATTCTAACTAAAGGTAGCGGACGAAGGGTGGAGACAGCTATAATTTAGCCTGCACTTGCTTATTTACTACGCCCATTATCGTCATAACGCAGTTTGCAAGCTTTCGCGCATTTTAGCACTGTTAGTTAGGGGTAAGATTGAGGGGATTGAAGGGAAAGAGGGTAGAACGGAAGAATGATAGAGAACAAAGAGACTGAGAGAGTAGAGAAAGATAGAAAATTGACGAATGTGTTTCCATAATGAATGAAAAGAAACGTATGATGTAGCTAATATAATGGATAAATAAACTTCTAACATATTTTATGAAGGAACATGAATAAATAGATTTGAAACATGATCATCTATGAAAAAAGCAAGAATGACACGGTATTTAATCAGTTTAAAAAATGTAAATCAACGATCGTTTAAACGCGACAAATTTGTATTAATAATTATCCAAAAGATAATCCTGAACGCGATAAAATATTTTTCTCGCATTCATTATTTTGTACAGACTAATGCAGAAATAAAAAAATTAATCGAGAATATTTTCGTCGAATAATGGCCGAGTATATACCTAATATGAGAGAAGTTAGCGAATCACAAAGATATGAGACGCGCGGTGAAAAATACAACGCAATAAACGAAAAAGACAAAAGAACAAGAAAACAGGTTAAACAGGAAATAAGAACAGAAATATAAATAGAGAAAAATTATATATATATAAATATTAATAAATATATATACACACTTACTTGTTTTCTAAGGATTCTAAGGATTTTTCGGATTCTTGTTTCTTGATTCCTAAGGATTGCTTATCGCGGTCTGGTATTCAACGGTAACCTAATAATAGGAGGCCGTTTTCGTGGAAGTGAGGAAAGTCGTTGTTCCGAATTATTCCCCGCCTCGGACCTGCAACAAGGCGCATAAAACGAAATTAATGCGGCAATAATCGTTTTGACTATAGCGTAATTCGTTAAGCCAACCTCTCTTGAGGTCGGTTTAATTCTACAATAATTGTTCTACATGGCAACTAATCACTGATATTACATATCTGTGCCTTCCATAGGTGGCGTTATTCTATACGCCATCTCGAATCAGTTTTACTTGAATCTAACCTCAATTTTTACATGTTTATTTTTCGCTTTCTTTTTTATTTTTTTTTTTTTTAATTTTTTTAATTTTCTTTGCTGGTATTCACTGAAACTGGCATTATGCCATACATTTCGTAATATTACGGAAAACATATCCATAAATTTATTACTCTTTACGAAATATTTCTCTTTTTTATCTTCAAAAATATTAACTCATTAAAGCGATTTCTGTACATTAAATATTAAAATCATAATGATGAGCGAAAATTTTCACGTTGAATAATATGATTATAGCACAGAACGTAAAATAAATATAATATACGACAGAAGAGATACATATTTGTTTAAAAAGAATCCGAATAGAATGAAACAAACAGTAACGCAACAAGAGGTTATAAATGCTATATAAACTTATTGATATATATATCTATTGTATGTTCATATAAATATATATTTTTAACTTTGAAATTTTCAGCAAATTTACTAATCATTAAGGAAATCAATTTATGACATTTTTAATTATAAACTAAAGTTAAATGTTACATTTGTATATATATATATATCTATTAACATAATATTTGGGAAACATTATGATTAATTATAGATTAATCGTGAACTGTGCGAATATTCGAACGAGGATGAATTATATCCGGCGGAATGCATCCAATTACATTATATTGGGGGTCATTATTGGCCGAGAGCCACGATGCATCCCAAGAGAACGGAAGTTCCTTTACCTCGAGGAATTCAGATGATTGTTCTGTTTATCAAAGTTTAATCTGAAGTTCATGGAAATTGGAAACTATGTAAGTTTTGTATAAAGAACGACGTGATGTAATAATGAAAAAAAAAAATTATAGTTACTGATTTAAAAACGAAATTTAAAAATTTTGGAAATTTAAAAACGAAAAATCAGAATTAATTATTAAATAAAGAAGCCGATATTCCTATTTATTAAAATATAAATACCTTTAAATTGCAGATATGTTTTCCAAATAGGATATACACAGCAGATCTGATTTTATATCTAGAAAATGCCAGGATAATTTATTAATATCAATAGAATTCAAATTCTGCGGATTCATTTGATTAAAATGAAAACAATTCCTTATAATACAAATAATAATTCCCTACAAAATAAATATACAGTGATAAAATATCATAGAATCAAAGAAAATAAAATAAAAATAAAATTATCAATTTCTGAAATTCAAAAATCAATGATAATCATAAACTGTATCAAATTATAAATACACGAAATAGACTATAAATTATGTTGATGAATTCGATACGTTCACGAAAACTCATTATGTTTCCCTATTATTAAGACAATTCCGAATCATCAAAAATATATTATTATAGAACCGTAAAAAAGAAAAGTATACCAGTTATCATATAATAACCGCTAATACTATCAAATTTTAATCACGAATAAAATTACTATGCTCAACTTAGCTAGGTTAAGCCATGAGCCACCATAAACTACCTACTTGCTAGATCGACACGCGCTCCCTCTATGAAACCTCTGTAGGAACAGCCTCCTTCCACTCTTGGTTCGATTTAATCCTCATTTAGAATACCATCGCACCGCTACCTGAAAGCTAGTTTCGATCGTGTCTATCTTCATCGATCAGTGGTTCTGATTAAAATGGTTCACAGAAGCGCAGGAAACCAACTATCCAAGATTTGAGATGAAACTGTTCGTCAGAGCAACTTATCTCGTCTATGATATATAACATTCAAATGGATTGAAGAAACCAATAGCTCGATGCTCGTATACCGTATATAGATGACTATTTCGATCAAAGACAAAAGAAAAAAGAGAAAGAGATATATACAGATATCGAATTCACGAAAATATTTATCTTGATTCATCGAGATCATATTATATATTATCATTAATCAGAAGCACAAACAAATTTCGTTTCCTTTCTTCTTTTTTCTTGTCGATCCTTTACACGTTCACTTGCACACACTGACTCGTCACGACTGACCACCATGCGCGATTGGACCTCGCTTCCCCCACTCGATTTTGTAAACAGAGTGACCGTGGTCGCAAGTGGTGTTTATGATCGATATAACCTCTGAAAATCGCACGGCGTCGAGCTTGTTCAATATTTAACGCACTGTCTCAACCTCTTTGCGCTGCGGTCGAGCGCAGCAACCGTGTCGGAGGGAGACATGAATTTTAGATGGGATAAAAGTAAAATCATGCCGACGACGTCACCGTTACGATTGAATTAACGTCTTCTTAAAATTGAAATGTTTATCTCGATCGTGAGCACTTGATGATTTAAAAGCCACAGATAATTATCGACGGAGTTTCAACGAAAATTGATGTTTGAAAAATATTTTACAAAAACAAAAATGATATAGAAGATGAAATATTCGCAATATGAACAAGAATGCGCAAAATTAGAAAACATTCAAACAAAGATTGTTTTTCTTTAAAATAGTTATAAATACCAATATGATTATGTAAGATATTTAAAGAAATATTTATAAGATTATAAGTTTGAAGAAATATTTATAAGATTTATAATATTCTTATTGTTTGAAATAATTGATCTTATAAATCTTTATAATTTAAGAAAAAAAATAATCATATTAATATCTGTATTAATTTCAAAAAAAAATAACTTACAACATTTTAAATGTATATATCGATGAACGATAAAATGGCCTCGTAAAAATGGTACTATACAATGGATCCACTATATCTTGCGCTAATGAAAATTTAAAATGGAAGTACAATCGTTTTAATGAAATCTATAAATACACGTAAAACGATTTAATTGAAATAGATTGTAAACTGGTATTCGTTTTTTTATAAATTTGATTCGGAAATACATCGTCACAAATAAAAGAAACTATCTTCATGTATTACTTTACGAAATATCAGGCTGACTTAATTATTTTATTATATTATTATTCTATATCGAAGAATATATTACACAAAAAACGAAATATTTTTCGTTTGGCAATCTATAGTTACTTTTATGTAATCTTCTCTTGTTTTTTTCAGTATGTACAAATAAAAGTAAATAAAATATATACAAAAAAAAAAATTACGGTTATAAATTCATTTGACATATAATTTTCATTATTTTATTTGATTAAATCTTGTTAATTATAAACAATAACGATTAAATAGGATACAAAAATAATTAAAATAGAAATAATTCTCATAACATAACTATTTTCGAGTACTTAAAAGAGCACAGACGATATAGAGTAATCCCGAATAGAAAAAAATCACAAGAAAAATTTGAAAGAGGGATTTCGAAAAAGAAAGACGAGATGTTTAATGTTCAGGCAGTCAATCGTTGAAAACTTTATGATTTCGGATCTTGACAATCGGTAAACACTATAGGGTCAAGTTTATACCATCATCTCTTCAAACTTTTGCAGGAAGGACAATGCAAGACTGAATCGGTGACAGAGTTGAGCGTTTTTCTTCTGCTCTTTCTTGTTGCATCTCCTTTAATGTTGGCGAAAGCTTATTACGAGTGGTTCAGGCCAAGTGCCAAGCAGTCGGAGGCTTAAACCGGCGCGGCAAAATGACAACTTGAGATTTTCCGTTTCAGGTGGTTTAACGGTTGTTATTTCACATGTCGAGTGCGCGCATAGGGCGGGAGAAGCGTGCGTGAATCGTGTGAAACAACAAATCTGTCGATCCAGTTTAGCAGCTGTACTTAACCTATTTTCGTCCGGAAATTGCATCGGTAGGTGCGTGTTATTACTATGCGAAAGCCGGATTTTATAAAAATTGAAAAATCGAATTTCCGCCGGCAGAAAAGCGGATTTCTTGCCCTCGTTCCCCTCCTACCCTATTTTCGACAACCGTACAAATTAAGGTCAATACGGAGAGGGTGTATTTCGAGCGAGATATTCCATCGTTCGTATCGAATCTCATCGCGCGAATCGATGACGATAATGCTGTTGTAATTTATAACGCTTGACCGGTATATATATCGAAATTCGATCTCGACAATTATCGAGCAAAATTTAAATTGAAAAAAATACACAGTATTTTCGTATTTCTCGAATTTTTTTTTTTCTTCTCTAATTATAATACGTAAAATTTTAAAGTGATATTTCAATTGAAAGGAAGGATTATTATTAATAAAATCGAGAATCTCATTATCGATTGAGTTGAAGTTGCGATAAACATTAAAATCAAAGAAATCTCTCAAAGTGTTATCGAATTAAAAGCGATGACATTTCCCAGCTCGCAGATAAGGGTATATTTTTCTCGGCATAAATATCATTCATAACGGTGGGTGTATTGGTGCACATGACATATAAACACGTATAAACGCACACACAATAGAGAGAGCGTTCACAGAGAGACAGAGAGAGAGAGAGAGACTGCAATGGAACACTTGAAACGGATTTTCAGCGGAGAATACATTGCAGTTAAAACAGCGACGACAGGTTTTAATTGAGGCTAGGATGCCAAGTGAAATATTGGAATTAATCGTGAAACTTGCGTCGGCTAACGAACGAAGAGAGCCATCGAGTTAGATCAGTCAACGAATAATGGAAGAATCGATGCAATGCCATCCC